AGACAGTCTTGGGCTGAAATTCAGCATATCACTTGTGGCTGTATATTCACAGAAAAATTATTAAACCTTTGTGAACTTCAGTTTCTTCTTTTGTTAAATAAAGATTGTAAAGGATGCCTACCACCTAGGAATATCATGAGTATTAAATAAGACAAAGTATGGAAGTACAAAAGCACATGAGCAATAATCACTAAATATTGGTTTTTCATCCACCTTCTCTTTCACTGCACTACTCCTTAGAAAGGCGCTCTTAAGGAAGGTAATTCGCTCCCACTGGAAACCACAAGGAAGAAAGGCTTTGTAGAAGATAGCCAGATGACCGCACAGCTGCCCTCAGTGGGGATCCATTTTGTCCATACAGGCAGCATGTGAACTCCTAACACTCATGTGTACACAATTTCTGAGGACTTAAAAGACTAACTGCTGGGTATACAGAAACTTGCCAATCACACTGAGAACATAAAATGCAGCAGTATCATACCAGCCCAGAAATATGCAAGTGTTTTTAGTCCCCAGTGAAAAGGTTATTAACAATCACCTAAGAATCTTGTTTGACAGTTTGATAACTTGTCTGCTGCTTTGATCTATCTATTCACAGAGATCTGATTCCCCATGTCCTTCTGGGGTATAGAGTGGGGACTCACTGCCTTTTGACAGGCACAGACACACACTGAAATGAACTCCAAAACAGACAGGGGTTGCCTAAATGCTAACCCTTTCTATGCCTTTATTGTCATTTATAAATCAGAAGATTCAATTTCTCCTACTGTACCACTATTCATAATTTTATCAAATGAGAATGCAAGGCCCAGTTAGGATTTTAAAAATGCCTTTTCTCAGAGGCATGATAAATACACAAGCCCTGGCCTCTTACCGCCTGGTAATTCCAGTCACTTCTCCCCCATTCTGTAGTGGTTCCCTCAACAAACCCTTCTACAGCCTGTGATAGTATTTCCCAATATATCTTTTCCTATACACACCCCTAAGCCTTAGTGGTTTCCTCTGTCCTTTCTCCTTTGGTTTGAGTGATACCTTCTAAGTCTTCCTCCTCTAAGTTCTGCCTAGATGCTTTCTCTCCCTCTTTTCTCTAGGCTATGTAGGGTGTAGAGAGACTAAAAAGAAGAGAACTGAATAGGACTCAAGTTGTGTCTCTTTCTTTTGCACTGAATTGAGCAATTAAGTGGTGTGTGTGTGTGTGTGTGTGTGTGTGTGTGTGTGTGTGTGTGTATGAGAGAGAGAGAGAGAGAGAGAGAGAGAGAGAGAGAAAGAGAGAGAAAGAGATTGATTATGGAATCAACCCTGGTTATGAATGTTTTTTAGAAAGTAAATTAGTAAAGCAACAGTAGTCTACTCAGAGATGAGTAATCATAGAATATTTTTTAAAACAGCTTTATTGAGGAATATTCTACATATTATAAAATTCATTCATAATTTCATGTATACAAGTCAATGATTTTTATACACTTTATTGTGTGGGGCAGATATCACCATAACTAAATTTTAGAACATTTTTATCCTTTAAGTAAGATCCATCATGCCTACTAACATTTAATTTTTTCTCTCATGGCCATTCCAAGGCAACCATTAATCTACATTCTGTCTTGATTAGCATGCTTTTTATGGACATTTGATATAGATGGAATCATACAATATATGGTCTCTTGTATCTGACTTATTTTACTTGACATGATTTGAGGTTCATCTACAATGTATCATGTGTCAAAAGTTCAATATTTTTTACTGCTGAATAGTATTCTATTATATGTATATACCACAACTTTTTATCTATTCATCAGTTGATGGACACTTGGGTTGTTTCCACTTTTTGGATATTATAAATAATGTTTTTATATTTGTATACAAGTATTGTGTGTACATATGTTTTTGATTATATTGAGTATATATCTAGGAGTGATATTACTGGACCATACTCTAGCTTTAGCTTTTAGAGAAACTGCCAGACTGTTTTCAAAAGTGGCTATGTCATTTTATAATTCTACCAGCAATATATGAAGTTTCACATTTCTCCATATGCTTGCCAGCATGTGTTGTTGTCAAGATTATAGAATATTAAAGATGGAAGGAAACTTGATTTTCCTACCTCTTAAATTATAGTAAAGTATAGCATTCAAAATTAAATAGTGTCTCTTTAGGTGGTCTCTTTCACTTGGTAAGATTATCAACACAAATACAGGCCCTGAAAGGGTAAGGCAGTACTCTTAACAAGTCTAGCTAGAATATGCTTGTATTTTAAGAAATTATGAACAAAATGAACATACACACACACACACACATACAATCAAATTCCTAAAGATTTTGCAGACCTCAGAAGACGTACACAGTTCCCTTAGGACCATGGAACCCTGTTTGATAAGTATTAGTTTAGAACACAACAGTTTCTAGGAGATTCTTATCTCAGAGAAGAATATAAATGGCATAAACAATTTCAGAAAAAGAAAGAGAGCTTGTACTATAACCCAGATCTCCTGTGTGACAAGTCAGTGAATTCCATCACTACTGATGTCACGTCCAATGATCAGAAACACATTTTTTGCTGTGCTCACTGAGAAAAGACACACGAGCAAAATGATTCACCAGGTTCTCTGAAAGTAGAGGAATAAACAAGGTGTTTGGATATATTTATGTTTATTGGCCAATATGAAATGTTTGCAGAGTATCATAAACAAACACAGCCATGTCACTATCTACACATGTATATAGCTCAAGATTTAACAAAATCTCTATAAACCATTTATGAGAAAAAAATAATTAAAATGTACCAATATTCAATGTAAAACACCGAAGACCTAGCTAGTAAGGTGAGGTTGGTAGGGAGGAGGGAGACAGAAGGGATTATGATCTCAATGTGACAGGGCTGTATGTTGTGGAGGGGTATGCTGTAGTGCTGAATCCTTTCCTAGCCTGGATCTGAGAATCTTGGAGGAAAAAATTGTTTTCCCAGACTCACTCCTGTCAAAATTCAAGTCAAAGTATATGGAGAGAAAAACAGTAATCCAAAAAAAAAAAAACAAAAAAACAAAACAAAAAACAAACAAACAAAAAAAAACAATTCATTATCAGCAAATACCTCCCCTTCCTTACAAACAAAAACTACATTTTTTTTTTTTTTTTTGGCTAGTTCATTTAGAGACAACTTAACTACTGTTTAGGCTCAAGGTATGTTGAATATGTTTTTATCAAATGTACTTTGTGCTTCCACTAATAACCCCTTTGTAGAAAGATACATAAAAGCACAGTGCTCAAAGAAATAAGTCTCAGCATTGAAAAGGAAATCTGTAAAAAAAAACTCTCCTGAAGCAAATACTCAACTATGACATTTGCCCTGGCCAAACAGAAATTATAAAGAAAAACATCCTTCAATTCACCTTTACCCAAAATACCCTAAAATGCAAAGCCAATTGCCGCCTCCAATTGCTGAACCTCAAAAAGTTGGCATTAAGGTGATGCTGGGTATGACTTGGGCTGTTCACATAACATTCATGCCATGAGCAAGCACACTGAAGAAGGTTTACTCTGTCACTTTATCACATTTTTGTTGTTATTATTATTATTATTACTGTGTTACAATCATTATCTTTCCTCTAGAGTGGCAGTGTTAAATGTGAGCTTGAACCACTGCCAGCCACATGGCAACCTTTGAATACCTGCAGTCTGCTCAAATCCAATAATCCTCTGTCTGGATACTACTTCTACCAGAAGGTATAAACACGATCAGTGTAAGCCAGTGAGATAAGAATAACCTGTTGCTGTTGCAGAAAAAAAAAAAAAAAAAAAAAACAAACCCAAAACAGCAAACCTAAAGGCCAAGGCCTAAAACCTTGGTTACCACATATTTGCTAATACCTGTGTGGGGCCAGACTGCTTGCTTGGTACCGGCTTGTATTTCAATTGCATCTAATCCTCAGTCCAGTACAATGGGACCTTTTTGCTTTTTCTCAAGTGCTTTTAGTAATCTGATCAACTGGTTGCCCCAGGGGCCCTTAATCAGTGTTTGCAGATGGACTAACCCAAAAGATGTATTTAATAAAATTCTAAAAGCAAAACTCTTGCTGTAGAGAACACTCTTTTGCCAGAGCGAGAACCTGGTGATGAAGTGCACATTCTGTCTAATGTACTTAATAAACCACCTAATACTTGTGGGACAGGAACTAGCTGTACAAGTTTCAGACAGATTCTCAGGTAATAAAGAATACAACCTCCAAGGAGCTTGTTTTTCTCTGAGCATGAGATGTATAGGTGGGAGCTAAAGGCAAAAAGACGATTGAGAAAGAATCAAAGGGGAACAGTGGTGAGAGAGCTGGGATTGAATTGACATTTCAATAGAAAGATGCATACTCAGATGTCCTTAAATGGATTGGGGGCTGTCTTTGAGGGACTGCTTGGGTGTAGTTTGGGGAACCCAGGCCCCAGAAGGAAGATTATTTTGACTCAGAAATGTTCTGTAAGGTTCCAAAATGGCAAACTTCAACCCTTCTCCCTGCTGAGGGTGGTGAGCACCTCAAATACAGGGTGAGGCCCCGGGGATCTAAAGGGAAAATGTTTGCCCTGCCTCATGCTGCAACGCAGCAGTCTGAGACATGAGCTTGGGAATTATGGCACCAGCCTCCCCCAAGATAGATATTAATACGTGTGTGTGTGTATGTATATGTGTGTGTGAGTGTGTGTGTGTGTGTGTGTGTGTGTGTATGTTGAGGAGGGAGGCTGTGTGGAGGAGCTAAAAGGGGAGAAGGGCTTGATTTTGTCCCTAAAGTGCTAGGTAGATGTGCTGACACAATTTTGAGAGGCTTACCTGACCAAAAATGCGGGCATGGAAACTCTACCTCATTCACTGTCCTCTCTCCTCTTCTCTATAATCAAGTTGAGCTAGGAACATGTCTGGTAGTCCCATGAATGTGGAATCTGGCTCCCCAGACTACAACAGGGAAGCAAGAAATGCTCCAGATCAGTCCTGGTGAATGGGACAGGATATGCCACATCTGTAGAGTATTCTGGTGGTATGGGACAGGATATGCCACATCTGTAGAGTATTAGCTCTTGCGGACACCCCATTTCAGGCCCCTGCTGCTGTTGTGGTATAGCAACAAGGAAGCAGAGTCCAGAGAGAACAACTGGCTGCCAGGAGCCAAAGAGACTTAGGGAGGGAGCAGATCAAGTTAGAAACATGTGGGTAAATGTCACGAGTACCCTTCTCTCTCTACCCCTCCAAATATCACAGGTTAAGCCAATGGTTGAGGATGTAATAGCAGAAACACATTACTTAGATAGGGATATGACAATTCTACCCTATTCTACATTGGTGAAACCATTTATCCTGAAGATGGGTTTAGTTCTAAGCTCCACATACTTTAGAAGAACCTAAAGTGGTATTCTCCAGAGAGGCAATGTTGTCTTCAAGCCTCTGCAGGGCTATCTTAAAGCACAGGAAACTGATGAGGTCTGTCTGGCACAAGGAACAGAGCCAGGATGGATAGGCGGGTACTATAGGGAAAGCTCTTTCTTACATTGAGCTCAAATCCACCAGTCACAATTGTATATGTTGTAATATACATTGAGTAGTAGTCAGCCCTCTGCCACCTCAAGTATGTGAGCAAGGACTACACAAACTCTTAGTGGGGATATTATAAAATGAACCCAAGCCTTGGAAAAAGAACTGGACTAGATAACCTTGAAGGTACCTAAGTTGACTGATTTGATATCAGTTATAACTTTCAAATTTGATATCACTTGTGACTTTCAAATGTACATTTGTTCACATTTTCTTAGGTTGGATGCAGGGAGCAGGGAAGACATTGGGAGAGCTGAAAATGTATTAACTGAAGAAATACAGAATTGAACAGTGCAAGATATTTGGTTAGTTGAAAACTGGGAATCTACCTACTCTTCTACCTCATGCTACGTAAGCCTTTGAGAAACCAACATTGGCTATCAAATGGTTGCAATGGTGGAGTTGGACCAACTCTAAAATGTAGTTCTTGCCCAGTTCTAGCCCACTAATTTGCTCTGTGACTTTGAGAAACTAACTTTCCCTCTCTGTGTCTCAGTTCCTGCCTCTGTAAAACGTAAAATGAAGGGATATACGCACAAGGTTTGTATAGTTATTAGGGAATGGAGGTTGATTTGAAATGTAGGGTTTCCAGATGACAAGGCTTGTATATTTTTTTTTCTACTGTGCCATATTGCTTGTACACATAAAGGGAGATACCTGAATATGACCATTAGATAGTGGCGCCCTGAGACAGCTTGAAAAAGGCCAGAATGGAGAGACTGGTGTCATGACAACCTTGCCAGTTCCCTGACAGCTGCAGACCCAGAAGTGTGATATCTATCTGACTTAAAAGTATAGCATCACCACTGTTGCCCCTCCACCCACAAGTGTTCCTAGCTTGCTGCTGTTCCTCCACTCCTAGTAAACAATAATATTCCAGAGGGGAATTCCTTGAGGCTAGTCCTTAATTTCTGTTTTGTTTTCTGTTGTTGTTTTTATTTTTTCTGATCCACCTTTCCAGCTCACCTCATTAGAGTTAAGGGCTGGGAACTTCAAAGGTCACATTGAGCTCCAGTCTGTCTCCAGTGCTTTCGGTTGTGTTTCCCCTCAAGGTCTCAGCTCCAGTATAGGAGGCAGAGCTGGAAAACTTTTGCAGGTCCAGCTCTGTGCATTCGATGGGGTTGTGGACCCAGTGGGAGTGGCTCTCTGAGGCGCAGGAGGCCGTGGTAAAGGAATCCTGTGTGGGGAAGCCACTAGTCGAGCTGCAGTCGTCCTCGAGGATAGGGTTAAGTGGCTGGGTCTGAAAGATGCTCTCACTCATTTGGGGCTCAGGACTGGTCTCCTTGCTGGGTGCCATGGGGAAGAGAGATTCCTCCTCTGCTGTTTTATCAGCCTGAAACTTCAGCGAACCTCCTGCACCTCGAAGCAGAAAGCCACTGGGTTACCCAAAAGCAGGGGCTCTTCTCAACTGGGCACTCGGTACTGAGCACAAGATAGGGAAAAGTCTGGGAGCTGATTCTTCCCTTCCTCTCCCTGGGCACTAGAGCACGTAGCACCAGGCTGAGGTGACACAGTTCAGAAACATACTTACATTCGGGTATCAGATTGAGGCTACCTGGTACTGGATCAGGTAAAATAATCAATTTCTCTAGAGAAAGGGACACCTTTGTGGGAAACAGGAATTTGATACCGTCTCCCTTGCCATTTAGTCTGGTCTTATGTCTATGTACATTAAGTTATATGGCAAACTAGACTCTGCAGATGGAATTAAGGTTATGGATCTCAAAATAGGGAGAGAATCCTGGATTACCTTATGGATCCAATGTAATCCTGTGTCCCTAAAAGCAGAAGAGGAAGGCAGAGGAGATAGAGAGTATCAGAGAGATGTGGCATGAGAAGAACTCACCATTGCTAGTTTTGAAAATAGAAAGGGGCCATGAGTCAAAGAATGTAAGTGGCCCTAGAGGCTTACAGCTGGCAAGGAAATGGGACCTAAGTCCTTTAACTGCATAGACCTGAATTCTGCCACCTTTGTGCATGATCAAGCAAACAGATTCTCTCCCAGAGACTCCAGAAAGAAACACAGCCCTGCTAATATCTTAATTTTGGCATTGTTTGAGACTCTAAACAGAGACCAAATTGAGCCTACTGAACTTCTGAGCTATGGAAACTGTGAGATAATAAGCTACTAAATGTGTGGTAATTTGTTATGGCCATGATAGAAAAGTAATACCCCCTTTATGCATGGGTCCAATTCAACATCAGGTCACAAACTGAGAACCTATGGGATGTGTTTGGCCTCTTTGCTTTGGTTGTGATTTTGTTCTTTATTCAAATTCATTGACTATGTTTTACACAATTTCAGTAAAAAAAAATCCAGATTTCTAAATTCTCTTGAAAATGTAGAAGATCTTGCAACATTAAATTTTTCCACGTGGTTACAAAGAGCTGGAGCCAAGTAGTGGGATTCCCCTTTTGATAAGGGATGTGCTCTCTAGTTTGCCACAGTTGCTACTTTTCTCTCTTGCAATCTTACATTGGATCTAATTCACACATACATCTCATCCCTGTATGTGTGTAAGTCAGTGACTCCTGAAAAACAGTTTTCCAAAGTGAGGAAATGTTTAGCCTTCCTACCCCTTATAAAAACAGTGAGGAAACTGCCTGCCTTCATATTCCAAGCAGGTTACCACATTATTATCTTCAGGATACAAGGAGAGCAGAAAAGGGTTACCCATCTCTCCTCTCCTGAAGCAGCTCTCTGATATTCTCTCCTTTTCATCTTCTTGACCCTGGAGTCCAAATGCTTCATTGTTCATGTTTCATGTCCACACATCCAGGGCCTAAGCAACAACTCTTATCTGGGACACTGGCCTCCAAAGTCAGAAACAGGAATGTCTACCCTGAGTCACAGTATCCCAGGAGCTAGCAAGAAGTAGACTTTGAGAAAAATCATAAAGGGACAACAGTGTTCCCCGTGTATCCTGCAGCCCATGAAATGCTATATTCATCTCCAATTAAGCCAGGGCACAACCAAATATACCTCTTGGGCTTTTCAAGATCAACTGCTAGGCCCCAGAGCCAAATTGACTAAGGCAAATTTACGTTAGCAGGATCTTCCCACACAAATACTGCTGCTTTGGACACAAAGATGAAAAGGAGTCCTTAGCACTCTTTTATCTAGTGAACTTTATCCTCCCTCTTATAAATCAACTTCATTCTCTGATCTGAGTTCCTGTTTCAGTGTCCCTGCCTAACTCTCAGTTCCCTTAATGGCACTGAAGCTGCACTGAACCTTGGTACTCTTGGCTGGAGTTCTAACTCTTTGCCTGGTCCTGACCAGCCACCTTCCCACCTCCTCCATCTTTTCCCTCAGTGAGCTGGATTTTCTGTCCCCCATTCTTGTCTAGTAGCTAAAGTTGTGCTTAATAGAAATAACAATGTTATTGTGACTTTAAATATGATTTTCCATCTGGAATTTTGCATGGCCATCTGATACGGACTGGACTAGACCTCTTGGACATCAGTATTATCTGAGGGAAAAAGTCTAGGTTTGCCGACTCCTCTGGACATAGGGCTTTCAGTTATCCCCATTTGTGAAGTTATTATACTAATAGCAGTTGCCTTAGGCCTCAATCACTTTTATTACAGTCGTATCTCAGATATAGCCGAGCCTTCCTCATTCATTACATGCTTTATAATTTATACCTACTAGTATAGATATAAAGAATTGGAAAAAATCTCAGAAATCAACAAATCCAATCCTGTCTCTTATCTTAAAGATTAAGAAGAAAGAGGTCTGAAGAGGCTAGATGACTTGTCTAAGGTTTCATGGTGATTTAGAGGTAGACGTAGAACTTAGGTCTCCAGATTCCTTTCCTGAGGGGTTTCCCACCATACCATGTTCCTTTAAAAACCCCTGAAACATAATGAACCAGGTCTTCTAAACTCTCAGGGTTGGCTTCAGTAATCTCTGAAGTCCCATGCTTTCTATTGCAGCCCCAGATAGTTCCCCAGGCCAACAGAAGACTATTCATGGGGTTTTCAAGCATAGTAGAAAAGGCCCATTATCTCTCAACCCCAGAACATTCCTCTATTCTGCCAATAAGAGCCTTGTTCCTGATTCATGTGAAACATGAAACAGCCACCCTTACCACGCTGGCAATGTCTGTTGAAGAACTGCTTGCAGTAGAGGAAGAAGAGCCCCAGGAAGGCCAGGGTAAACACCACTAGCAGGCTGCTCACCAGTGCAACAAGTGCGGCCTCCTGAGGGGGCACTGTGGGTGCATCTGCCTCCACTAAGCTCAACTGGAAGGCACCTGTGAGACAGAAAAATGGGGGAAGTCAGTTAGTGTGGGCAGTAAACAATCACACTGACCCTGGGCCTGGACTTCCTCAGGCTGTCACCCTTCTCCCTAGGGACTTCCCCAATTAGGGTGGCTATGCTCATTTTGCTTCTTTCTAGAGCAGACAAAATCATGAAGAACAAGGCAAAAGAATTTGTATATACTGCTGGTATGTACAAATTAGTACAATTAATCGAAGATGCACATATCCTATGATATTTCTATGCCACATCTAATTATACAATCCAGATCAATGGAAAGAAGCTAAAACATTCATCAGTAGAGCACAAGATAAACAAATCATGATATAATCCTAAAATCTTACAACACTTAGAGACCTTTATGGATCAGTATGAATAATATAGAGGGGAAAAAGAAAGTTGAGAAACAGAACATAGAGCTTGATATCGCTTCTATAAAACATTATAAAATACATAATAATAGCATATATCGGTTATGAATATGCACATATATCACAAAAGAACCCAAGTATTAAAACATTAGTGGAGAGTATGGCAGAGGCATGGTGCTCACCAATTATCCACATACTCCCATGTGTTCCCCTTATGCCCTTGCAGTAAGGCCATAAGAGTACTTCTGGCCAATGAACTGTGAGTTGAAATGACATGTGTCACTTCCAGACTGAGGCAGTTAAGAATCAATATGTCTCCTCCATCTCTTCCCCTGTATCATCGACCTGGAAGACATATGGTCTAGAGTGCATGGTCAAATGATGTAGGAAGGCCTTTGCACAGTAAAAAGAATAAACTTTTATTGTATAAATTCACTGAAATTTTGCAGTTTGTTTGTTACTGTAGCATAGCCTACCAACAGAATACATACAATTTCAGGATAGTGGTTGTATCTGAGGAGGTAGGGAGGTAACAGGACTCTGCGAGAATCTAAAAGAGAATTCCATTACCTCTGTGGAATCTTCATTCTTTTAAAAAATCTGAAGCAAACATGCAAAAATGCTATGATTTATTAACTTTGGATAGATGCTGGGTAATTGCATTTTAATTTTACATTTTTCTGCACTTAAAAAATATTTCTACATGTTTGAAATTTTTCATGATTTAAAAAATATATCACTAATTTTAAAATAGTAAGTAAGCAAATAGATGGTAGACAAAAAAGACAGACGACCTGATAAATGGATAGTGATATAGGCATAGATTGGACCCTGGTTCTTCATTCAGCCTCTTACAATTCCTCAGCTCTAAGGGCTCCTATATACTTTGTATAATAGTAATACCTCATAAGTGTACAAATATTATAATTTGTAAAGTGCTTCCTAATATCCATTTTATAATTAGACCTAGACACCCACCACAGAAAGTATGAAGAAAAATGATTATCATGACTCACCCTTTTTTCAGAGGTGGGAAATGAGGTTCAATGAGATTGAATGATTTGCACAGAGTTGCAAAAATCGTATGTTGTAAAACGAGAATTCTAATCTGATTGCCTTGCTACTCTACTCTACATGAAAAGGTATGAGGGGATAGGGGAAGTATTTACTACCCTATCTTGATGCCACCCCATGGAATGTGGAGAAAAGGGAAGAAGAGAACTGGGTACACACATTGAACTTCAGAAGTGGGAGTCTGCTTCGTGCACGGGATGCACTCTTGCTCCTGCAGGCCTCCAATGCGTGTCTTTCGGTAGAACCTGTGTTCAGAGCAATTAGGAATGGCAGGGTGATCAAACAAGCAATGCACGTGGACCAGTTCGTCCTGGGAAAGCAGCTCCTAAGAATCTTGCCAACCTGAAAGTAAGTGCCCACCCCTCATTCTGAGTTATCTGCCTCTGTGTCTTATTCTGACTCAGAGACCCAGACAGACACTCTACTTCTTCCCCCATTCATCACACCTTGTAGCCAAAAGGAGACCTAATTCCACAAGAGAGGGGTGCACTGCTTTGCTACCAAGTACATCATAGCTTCTTTTAAGTCTACAGTGAGATTTACCTTGAACTTTGGTCTTCGGCTGAGAATGATGATGAAAAAGCTGTCAAGTACTCATCTGTGACTGACAATGTGCTAAGCACTTTATAGAGGGATCTTGGGAAGACACCACTTCTCTCTTCTTGGAGCTTAAACTGAATATTATGTTGATAGGTAGAATACTTCAACTAGGTTCTGAGAGTTCAGGATGGGAGAGATCTCCAACAGCTAGAAAAGCCCAGACAAGCTTGGTCTCATAAAGCAGGCTCACCTGGGCAGACAGTCCCCACAGACAGCATTAGAGGTAGCTGTGCAGTTGACCTTCTGAACACGATTGATGACAGCACAGGTGATGCAACTCTGACATCTGTGGTGGCCCCAACTGCTTTTGTACCTGCGAGGAGGGCAGGCTGTGCAGTAGGCATCTCCACCCTCTCCATAACCACAATCCTGTAGAGAGATGGGAGGTGTTAATATTGCTTTATAGGAGCTTGGAGATGGGATCACCTGTAGGACAAGTGAACATGCACAGAGTAGTATTTTTCAACTTGCAACCCCATTACTAAGTCATAAAACCCATTCACTAGCTTCCAGCCAGCATTGAAAGATAAAATAAAACAAAATAGAATAATATCAACTATAAGAGTATACAGAATGAAGTAAAGCTAAGTATTTGTATCAGTCAGCATAGGCTATGCTGTAGTATGGCAAAAATCAAACCCTAAATCTCAGTGTCTTAAAGGAATAAAAGTTTATTTCTCACTCATCATATTTGCCTACCAGGGGGTTCCTGAGGACTCTGCTGTACATCATCCTCAATGGGGTACCCAGGGTTACAGAAGCTTTATTTTTGTGCTTTTATGATTGAAACATTCTGAACTGTGTACAAGCTCTTAACGTTTTCCCCAAAAATGACCCATATTGCTTTACTCACATGTCCTTGGCCGTACATATCACATCATCATTAATAACTACAAAAGGTACAAGAAAATGCAATTCTACAATGTGACAGAATGTGGGGAGCTGAAATATTTGACAAATAGTCATAAGCACTACCCACATCAGTACTGTTTTATAAAAGTTTTCTAGATAAAATGCATGAAATTATACATTGAGTTGTGACAAAAAGTTATTTCTTACTCTAGGTCATGGTAAAAAAATGTTTGAATGCCAATGGTATAGATGAGAGGCAAACACTCTAGTTGGCTGTTATCTCAGCTCTGGTACTAAGTTTGGCCATACTCCTTCCCCCCAACCCCCAATTTCTGGGCATCAGAAGTCCCAACACTGAGTAAATTGGAATAAATCTTGTCTAAAGATTATTAAAGCTGACAGCCTAACCCCAACAGGAACAAGGTGCCTGCCTGATACCAGTCACAGCTCTTTCTCAAAGAAACAACTCTAGTTGTAGAAGGATATTAATTGTATGCTAGTTGTAGCAGAAGCTGGCTGGTTGTTCACTTAACCTATTTTTTTATTTCTCCTGGGAACACCACTAGCCTAAATTCTTTAACTCCACTGCAATGAAGTGGGGGCATGTGCATCATTTTTAGCCAATGAAATACGGATACTAATATTGTTTGCATTCCCAGGCCTGACTCAAAAACATGTCCTGTGTGATACTTAAATTTTCTTCATACATTCATTTTCCAGTGCCTGCTGACACCGCTGGAAACCTTGGAATAAATATATTAAGAATGATAGAGGAAACCAGATAAAATGGAGGAGTGGGCAGCTTCAAGCTCTTATGCCCCCAAAGAAACACAGAAAAACAAGCAGGAACTGGCATAATCAATGTTGTCAGAACTCTGGAAAGCATTCAAAGGCTTACATGAATCATGTAAATGTTAAATCAAGAAAAAGCCACTTGAAAATAATAGGAAAGTAGTTTTCTGCTATTTTTACTTGTACTTGTTACATCCCTCACCGCAGAGCAGTGGCAATCCTAAAGTAGTGTAAGTCTTAAAGTAGTCTCAGCCTGTATTCCTAGTGTGAGACCTCAGTACCTGATTCCAGAGTGAGCTAAGCAAAACTTATTGACAAATTACTGTGTATGTCTGTCCTAACCTCTTTGAGGGCTATTTGACGGCCTGATATAAGGTATTTATGTATGTTCTACTCGATTCAGAATGCAGATTGGAAAAGTGATGGGCACTCTTTCAAGATGCTGCAAGACAAACTAACAAACCACAATGCCTAAGGCAATGATTATGGATTAAGAAATAAAACAGACTGTCTGAATCTGGAAGCAAAAGCTGGACGGGGGTTCCTTTAGAAATAAGGACATTCAAAAGTATCCACGTGGAGGAATTTAGAAAGGTATGTGCATACAAGACACATGCTCACAAAATACTAGTGGTGACCTAAAGCTTACATGTCAGGCTGATCCCTAAGTTAAGTGCACATCTGGCTAACTGTTTAAGGAGTGCCTCAGCACAGAGCCAATCTAAAAATGTGATAGAAGTGTGTGACTATTTTTTCTTTTGGTGGTTGTTGTCATTTTTTAACTTTTAACATTCAATGAAATTGCTGTCCAAACATTAGCTGAACATGAGCTAAATTAGCATAGGTTTCAATGACGATGCACGACAAAAAATAGTCCCTACAAAAATAGTTTGGAAAAACACCTAAACAAATGGAGTGCTAGCCTAGGCAACATGGCAAAGCCCTGTCTCTACCAAAAATACAAAAATTAGTTGGGCATGGTGGCATGCACCTGTGGTCCCAGCTACTCAGGTGGCTAAGTTGGGAGGATCGCTAGAGCCCAGGAAGTGGAGGCTGCAGTCAGCAATAACCATGACACCACACTCCAGTCGGGGTGACAGAGTAACACCCAGTCTCAAACAAAATAATAATAATAATAATAATAATAATAATAACAGAAGGACTACTATAGCCTTAAACAACACAAATCTAGAAAAAAAAAAAAACAAAAATAAACAAAAATGAAACAGGTAAATGTGAGGAAAAGGGGGAATCTAACTTCCAGAGTTACTTCATTACAATACAAAACTGCCCAGTTTTTAACAACAAAAAGTAAATCACACAGTGTAAAAAGAAACAGGCAACTGTGGCCCATTCAAAGGAACAAGAAAAAGAAAGAACTGAGACTATTCTTGAGGAAGCCCAGACATTGCACTTAGTAGACAAAGACTAAAAGAACCGTCTTAAATTTGCTCAAAGACAAACATGGACAAAGAATTAAAAGAAATCAGGAAACAAATGTATAAACAAAGTGAGAATATTGGTAAAGAAAAATTTTAAAAAGGAACCAAACATAAATGCTGGAGCTAAAAAGTAAGATAAATGAAATGAAAACTTCACTAGAGAATCTGAGTAGGTAAAAGAAAAAATGAGCAAACCTGAATGTAGGACAATTTAAATTATCAAGTCTGAGGAGAAGAAAGTAAACAGAACATAAGGAACTTGTGGAACATCATGCAGGTGACCAATATATGCATTACGGGATTCCCAGAAAAAAAATAGGGAGATGAGGAACGAGAATGACTATTTGAAGAAATAATGGCTTAAAACTTCTCAAATTTGATGAAAGACATAAATTTACCCATCCAAGATGCTCAAGAAACTCCAAGCAGAGTAAACATAAAGAGACCCGTGCTGAGATACCCTATCAACAAAATGTTTATAGTTGAAAACAAAAAGAAAATATTGAAAATGAAGAGTGAAATTATTTGTCAAGTAAAGGTATTCTCAGTAAGATTCAAAGCATATTTCTCATCACAAAGTGCAGAGACTTAAAGTCCGTGAGATGACATATATAAGTGCCTAAACAAATAAACTGTTAACCAAGAACTCTACATATAGCAAAAAACTTCTTCGAAAATAAAGGAATAATTAAAATATCCCTAGATAAACAACAGCTGATTGATATCACTAGACCTGACTATAAGAAGGGAATCCTTCAGGCTGAAATGAACAGACAATGGACAGTAACCCAAAGCCATACAAAGAGTAAATATCTCTGGTAAAGGTAATTGCATGAAAAAATATGATTCCACTTATATGAAATATCTAGAATAGGAAAATTTGTAGAGATAGAGAGTAGAGGCTATCAGGTACTTTGGAGAGGGAGAAATTGGGTTATTGCTTAACACATATAGAGATTGTATTGGGGTAATAAAAAGTCTTAGAAATAAAGGGGTGATGGTTGCATAACATTGTGAATATGATTAATGCTACTGAATTATACACTTACAGTGGCTAATACAGCAAATTTGAGATTATATATTTTACCATAACCTTAAAAATCATAATGCAGTATACAAAAAAACATGAATTGTAAACTTACATGGGTGAATTGCCTGGTAGGTGAACTGTAGTTTAATAAGGCTGTTTAAAAAATACAGAGCTCCCATAAGCCTGGCTTCCTCAATGGCTGAGAAGAATCCTCCTACTCCCCAACATGGATTGGAATTACATTCAGGAATAAACCCTTAACCTGTTATGTCACCAAACTTTAGTATTTGTTACAGCAGTTAGTATTACCTGAACTAATATTTAAGTTATACTTTCCCAGGAAATGGAAAAAGTGAGCATCAGGCAGGCTCTAAATACTCCTGCCATTCTGTCCCTGTGTTTGCCCACTCAGGTTTTACTCAATGCCTTGCAGCCTCACTCACAATGATCCCATCTGCCAATGGGATCTGATATGAGCGCTAGCCATTTTACTCTAAGTTTCTTGAAAAGGCAAAGGGTTTCTTGTAATCTCTGCTAACTTATGTGCACCATTGGAATGCTGATAGCTTCCATATCTGCTTAAAACAGTGAGCTGAGGGTCAAACTATTAGGAAATATAATGTAGTGACGAAAATCCCTGATCCACGGTAATGAAGACCTATCTGTAACTCCCACTTCTATCACTGACCAGCAATGTGACCTTGGACAAGTCATTGGGCCTGAATTTTCTCATCAATCCAATTGTAAACAATGCTATCTAACTTACAGGTTTGTTAAGATTACATGAGCTGACCAAATGAACAAAGGGAATATCTCAAAGCAATGGAGAATAGCTGGTTTTTTAAATAGGTTATGTTGTATATCTGAATGACAGTATGAAAAATGATAAAATTAGATACATTCCTCACACTATACACCAGAGTAAATTCAAAATAGATCAGAAATTTATAGATAAAAATTAAAACCAAAAAGTACCAAAACAAAATATAAGTAAATTTCTCTTTAATCTGGGAGTGGAGAAATTTTCTCTAACTGCAATTCAAAGTCCAGAATCAATAAAGGAAAGATAGATAGATCTAATTACATAAAAATTTTACAAAGTTTCAGGGTAAAAGATTCATAAGCAAAATTAGAAGATAAATAACGAACTAGTAAACAGATGTACACCATATCACAGACTAAAGATTTATATTCCTAAAATACAGAGCTAGTATAAATTAACAACAACAACCTTATAAGAAACTAAACGTACA